GTTAAAGCGAAAACAAAAGTATTATCCAGACTGTTGATATTGCGAGAAATTTAAATGTGAAATTCAAATGTAACTGTTCCTACGTAAATATTATTTGCCCTTCTCTGAGATTGTTTATAACCAGCCTGGCAATGAAGGGACGTGACATACCGCCAACAACCGTTAAGATGTTCAGATTTCCCTACATTCGCGAGTCGCTTGTTCACGCTTTCGAGAAGTTTCGTTTCTTCTAATTCTAAGAACGCATCATATCCGCAGAGAGCGACGAAGCAAAGGAAAATGCGACGACAGTGAGTGAACCGACGAAGAAGAAAGCTACCGGTGCAAAGGTCAACCATTCGAATAAATTACGGGGCGACGAGATCAGACTGTCAGCTCTCGATCGTCCTGGATCGTCCAAGTCACCACAGTTCAACAAGATACCTGCTACCACGAAGTCTGGCCCGAGTAAAGTGAAGAGTACTCAAAGCAAAGCAACACAAATGCGTCAGAATTCAAGCAGCCAGAGGCTGCAGGGAAACGAGGACATCGACGACGACGTAAGGAACATCCTCAGAGATCGGAAACGTGTTTCGTCTGTCTCTTATTTCAACTGTGTGTGTTTCAGTATTCTTCTTCGGGCGTGGAGGATGCTGGAAGATCGAAAAAATACGTCCTGGTCGGATGGGACAACTTTCGTTCGAAGCTGATGATAATTCTACTGGTTCTTTTCGTTTTATGGGCAGTCATCTATTTCCCTCTGACTAGGATCTGAAATTCAGTAGCATTAGCTCGACAAGAAATCGAAACTCTTAAAGCTAGCAATCTAGAGAATCGTCAGCGAACGATTTATTACGTGTGTACATTTTTATCACGAGAGACGATACATACACGCTATAGTTACATCTGTAGTGTAACTTCCGGTGGAAAGGCTTACATGTATTCTCATCTTTGTTTTATCTTGTAAATCTTTAGTATTGATATCGGCTTTGCCTATTAATTTTCCAATTTTTTCAGAATCGGTAATTATTATAGATTTCTCATGTTTGTATTCAATGTTATTATGATTTGAACGTGGAACGACTGTTTCCTCTAGGGGAACTAACTGTTCCGATACTCCATTTTGAATTGGATTCCACGTGTAGAAATATATACATCCGTTTTATGTGTATATCTCTGCCACTAGAAACGGCTAATTTTTCTATACAAAAGTAGAACTATCTTTCCGAAAAACAAAAATATATATATACACTTCCGGAAGACTGCTGGTAACAGGACCACTGAAATATAATTAGAAATGAACGATTCTGACTGGTATCAGATGCAAACGATAGATGTTACTCATAGTGTAAATATGTATATATACACTTTTCGCAAATAAAACACCATTGAATGATAAATTTCATTTTACAATTACTCGGAATCTCGTCTTTCCAAAGTTTATTCCCCTGTTTTATTCTCAGGTAAAAATTTGATCTCGTTGCAACGAGATTTGAACGAAACTCAACGAATTTCATTGGTTTTGGTCATCGAAGAGGCAAACTTTCCACAGAAGCTATTACCGACAGCAAGTAAATCCAAATCATAATCAATTCCTTTAGTCTTTGATTCAACGCCTATTTCCAATAGCCTGTTATCTTCCTTTGTCAACTTGTTTGTTCATTCGTCCTCTCAATAACAAACTACTCGCCATCGCTGCGTCAATAAATTCGAATTCGAGATTCGTCACCAACAGAACTTCCAACGGCAAACAAAACGACGAGTAAGTTTCCGATGAGAGAAAAATTGGAAAATTGAAAAACTGCCTCGAGAACGTTACCGGCGGTCGGATCGAGAGATCGAGCGTAGAATCAGGATCAGCGGCCTTTTTCCAAGTGTGAAAGACGCGATATGTGACGACGTGAACTCTCGCGAACGAGAGGCGGTGGAGGCAAGTGGAAAGCGTAATCGGCTGGAAGTGGCCGATTCCGTCAGCCAAGGCTTCAGTCCGTCTTAAAACGCCCACGCCCCAGCTTCTCGACGCTCTCGATCCTATTATACCTACGTTGGAGAACCGGCGCGATCATGAGCACCATGAGAAATGTGGCCGCGATCTTCCTCGTGCTTGCGATCTCGTTGATATTCGTTGGTAAGCGAAACTTACTCACTTT